GCATAGAGCTCATTGAAGTCCTTTCCCTTTGTCTGCTGAAACCCCTTAGCCACAAGCCTTGACTTGTAGCGGGTCAGCGCCCCATCAGGTCCGTACTTGTGCCTGAAAATCAGCTTGGAAGAAATGGCCTTCTTCCCAGGTGGCAGCTCACACAGCTCCCACGTCTCATTCTCTAGCAGAGAATCATACTCCTCCTTCACACTCTGCTTCCACTTTTCAGCATCGGGCCCGCTCAATGCCTCAGCTAGCGTCTTGGGCTCAGGGACGGCTGCCCAGTAGCAGTGTGCTATCTCATCCTCATCACACTGCTCAGCCACACTCCCAGCCCTTACCACCTTTGGCTTGCCACGGCTTGCATAGGTCAGCCTGTTAGGAGGGCGCACATCCCTCCTAGGACGGTCAGCCGTACGTCCGGCACCTTGTGGAGCACCTTGCTCCTCCTCCTGCTGCTGCTGCTGCTGCTGCTGCTCCACCTCAGGTTCTCCCCCATCATCAGTCACCCCAGAGATCTCCTCCTTGGAGACAGAAACCTCCACCTGCCTCGAAGGCCGCTGCACCTCATCGGCCTCAATGATCAGTGGTGTTGTAGGAAGCTTCTGCTGCTGCTGCTTCCACTCCTTGTAGAACAAGGACTCAAGGAACTTAACATCCCTTGACACAGTCAGTTGCTGGCTCGTCAAGTCCCATATCAACCAGCCCTTGTGGTCCTTGGCAAGCCCCAAGTGCACACCCCATCTCCCAGAAGCTTCCAACTTTCCCCTCTTCTCCTTCGGTACATGAAACACCACCATGCAGCCATAAGTTCTCAGCATGTTGACTGCAGGCGCACTCCCATACCACTTGGTGTAGGGGACCCATTGCTTGTCCCCCACAGTCGCCAGCACCCGGTTCTTCACAACAACGACCTGCCGCAGTGCTGTCACCCAAAACGGATCCGGCAGCCCTGCACGCCCAAGGAGAGTGCGAGCACCTTCCTGCAGGGTCCGGTTGAACCGCTCAGCCACGCCATTCTGCTGAGGGTTGTAAGGCACTGTGAGCTGATGCTGGATCCCCTTCCGCTTCAGCTCCTTCTCAAAATCAGCGCCGATGAACTCTCCTCCGTTGTCAGTGCGGATCACCTTCACCTTGTGTCCGCTTTCCCTTTGTGCTCTCGGCATCCACTCCTTAAGGACAGCCGCTGCCACCTCCCCCTTAGTCTTGAGAGGGTACACCCACACCGCACGCGTGTGGTCGTCCACAATCGTCAAGAAGTAGCGGCTGCCCGAGAGAGAAAGGGCCCTCGTGGGGCCCACCACATCCATGTGCACTAGTGCAAGTGGTGCCTTGGCTGGTCCTGTGCTGCTGCTGAAGGGAAACTTCGTGAATTTGGTCTCAAGGCAGGTAGGGCAGCTCCCAATCTCCTTTGCTCCCCCCTTCACCTCCAGCCCCTTCAAGCACCCATCCTTTACCAACTTCTGCAGCATAGGAATGTTCACATGGCACAGCCTCTCATGCCACGTCTCCCAATCAGCCTCACCACTCCCAGATGAAGCCTTTGCCCATGCAGCTGTCGCATCCACACCAGCAAGCACCTCACCATGTGGCTGTTGTGGCTGCTGCACCTTCTTGACTGCATCCAGGGCCCCAGCAGTTGGTGCAGTCTCCTCTCCTCCTGCAGTTGCTTTAGCCGCTGCCGCTGCCTTTGCCGTTGCTGGTGGTTTCCCCTTCCAAGGGATGATGGGCAGCTGCCACAGGTCCTTGATGCAGCTGCTCTTCTCCTCCAAGTTCCACAGCAGCAACTTCCCAAGCTTTGCACGGCAGCTGGTTGGGCCGAAGGTAACTTCAGCCTTGCTCTTCTGCAGCCGGCGCACAGAAAGAAGGTTAGCGGACAAACCTTCAACCAACAGCACATTCCCAAGCCCCACAAGCTCTCCATTGGCTCCCATCACCTTGGCATTCCCAACACCAATCACAGGGAGCAAAGCACCTGAAGCGGCAGCCACAAACTTGATCTTCCCAGGAGGTTTTACCTCATCAAGCAAATCTGCCCGTGGGGTCATATGACTCGTGCAACCTGAATCGATCACCCAGTGAGTGAGGGGGTGCATCACAACCTTCCCAACTGAACCCACATCACCCCCACTCCTTGCACATCCTCAACCATGAGGAACATCCCAGGGTCGGCTTTACCTTGTGCACCATCACCTTGTGCACCTGAACCTTGCACAGCGCCACCGCGTGCACGTTCACCACTTGGCGGCTTCATGCCTGGAGGGGCCCATCCCTCAGGCCGGCTGAAACACTTGAACCACGGGTGTCCAGCCTTCTTGCAGTACCAGCACGCACCCTCCATTCGGGTGCTCCCCCTGCCACCAGAGCTCCCATGCCCCTCATTGTAGTCACCTCGGCCTCTCCCTCTGCCAAAGCCTCTCCCACGGCCTCGGCCTCTCCCTCCCCCTCTTCCTCTGCTGCCTCCTGCAGCTCCATACCCCTCAGCAGTTTTGTTGGCAGCACCACCTCCCGTGTGGCGTCTGCGGAAGTCCTCCTGCAGAATCTGCTGCCGTAGCCACTCAGGCGTCCATTTGTCCTGCTGAACGTTGAGGGTGGGGATGAGGTTGTCCCACGAGTTGTCGAGCACCGAGATGATCTTGGTGCACTGTTGCATCTGCGACACTTCGCTGCCCGCCGCTGCCATCCTCGCATAGGTGTCCTTGATCTTGTCAAGGACCGGTTTCACATCATCTCCCGGTTTCATGGAGAGGGCAGCCAACTCCTTCTCCAACACAATCACCATCGGCAGCGTGTTGGGCTGAATCACGTCGCGTAGCAGCTTCCATGCCTTCGGTCCGGAATCATCCAACTCCACCAAATCCTTGATGTGCTGGAACATGTCGTTGTTGACCGATTGGAGGATGAGGTCGTACAGCACCGCGCTCTTCTCAATCCACCGATCGCGGGCATCTCCTTCCCCCGGCATCTTCTCCTCTCCCATTGCAATTTTCAGCAGCTTGTAGCGCTTGAAGGCGCTCCGCATCCGCCCGCTCCATTCCTCATAGTTGGAGCCATCCAAAGCTTCAATCTTGGATGGTGGCGGCTCACTCCTCTTCTCAGCTGCATCTCCACTCCCTTGATTCATCTCCTCTGCTCCCAATCAGAGGTTTCAGCTCCCCCTTTTGCTGGTCACAATGTAGATCCACACAATCTTCACAAGTGTCAGCGCCAACGAAATTTCGGCAGAGTTTCCCCTTAGCAGAAGTCACATCCAACCTCCAGAACTCCACTTAGGCACGCCCACAGGCCATGGTGGGTCTAGGAGGGTCTTCACACTTCAGTAGACTCCCCACAAGGTCCTTAATCACCTCTGATACCACTTGTTAGAGACTAAGGACGGAGTCTATGAAGATTAGGAGCCAAAATATCTCAACATCGTTGGGCCTAGTTTCTGAACAGAAAAGTCGAGTTCACAAGAAACGCCGTCGACGAAAAGTGCACTGTCAAAACTTCACTAAACTCATATATGTTGTAGCCCTACTCCGTGGCTACAATTCCCAAGTTGAAACGTATCAAGAGGTGAAGTAAATTTCGACTTATCAATTTCGGCGCACAGGGGGGTATGCTGCCATAAGAACTTAACTCAATCACAAAGTTCACACAAGTTCACACAAGAGAATTGGAGTAGCACTAAACCAGGTGGAAGGGATGAGGAGGACGAGAGGGAAGGTCCCAAGGAGTCCCCAACCAAAGGAAACTCCATGCCACACAATTCCCTTCCCCATAGGCAACCCAACTTTGACCTTTGTCACTATCCCAACCTCCACAATCCACCTCAACCCAACTTGGCCACACTTGCCAACCTGGTTTGGTTTCTCCCAACCATTTGGCAGCAACTACAGTAGAAAAGACGAATTTCCCAACCCCCAAAAGTCTGTACCCCATATTGAGTCAACCCCACAACTTCCCATAGTCACCACAACCAAATATCAAAAGCATACGAACTCCAACGTTCGTAACTTTCTAGTTCGTGCTCCGATTGAAGCGATACTTGGTTCCTCGGAAAGCTCTTGAGCAGAGGAGTCACTTCAGATATCTGCTCAAGCCAAATAACATTCACACACACACTCAGAAAAACCAAACCGCACAAAACACAAATTCTTGCACACACTCACAACACGCATGCAACGCACGAACATATGATGGGAGGCAGACAGACGTGAATGCGAATGGTAGCATCACTCAACAAGAGGTTGGGTCGAGAAGTCGGATCGGCGTTCTGTACACTTGTTGCAGTTCTGAAGTTGTGTGATATTTCTAGATCACTGCGTGCGCCCTCTGAGCATCATTTTTGAACACGGCGAAGATGTGTACGCATGGCAGCCCGTATTCCCTGTTTTTGGGATAAATGGGCGAAGAGGTAAAAAGGGATTAACGCATGACTGAAACCAGCAGGAATAGCTAAAACCTGCAGGATTTCATCACACACATGAACACATGGCTTAAAGAAGCCCACATTCAGCAAATATGATTACGGCAAGCATATGTACACACGACACTTTGGCGACCTTATGCCCCTGCATGGGCAAGGTGGAGGGATAGGGAAGGTTCTTTGAGTTGTAGGCAACTAGACATTTCAGTTTAAACAGGATATCGCATATCGCCATATTCCCCATGTCGCACGGGGAAGGCTCGTGATAAATGGGACAAATGGGCATTAAGTTAGAGAGGGTATAACGTAGGAGAAAATGGGCATAAGGTTGTAGACAACATGATAATAGCAGCAGGAACGAGATTACATGGCTCTTAGGCTGCCCCAAATACCACTGATGTTGGGATAAATGGGCAGGAAAGGGGATTTCATAAGTTACGCAGACCTATTATGATAACTGGGGGCTAAAATTTAGAGTGGGTACAATATGAGGGTTGATCTTGCATGACATTTGGGAAGCTGATGAACACAATATTCAAGTAAACACCAATGAAACATACGCTAGCAGTGCTAAAAACAGAACCTAAACACCACTTACTTGGTGTAGCCACATGAGCAGCGGGTGTCTGCAGGATCCTCGGGGTTTGTGGTCACGACTCGCCTCTCGTCCCCTTGGCGTACTATGTACTCGTGTTCCCCCGATTCAGCCACCCTGTATCTTTTGCCCTCATCGCGATTCCCAATGACTATTGGCTTTGTCCTGGGAGGGAAGTCAGCAACTGTCATCTCGGAGTATAATTGGCGCCTCTCTTCGATCTTCGTCGATAGCTTATCTGCCAAGCCTAGCAGCACCTGCGGCGGACTCTTATCCCGCAATCCTGAAAGCGACGCATGGTGAGACTCAACGGGATTGGAAGACAAGCAACCGTAACGCGGTGCTCCAAAATAAGCTGTCGCCCACTTAACACCCAACCCATTGTCCACAAGGTACGAGGATCCACCGGGACATTCCATCTCATTTTTTTCCATTGTCTTGAGGTACACAAGCTCCGTCAGAGCCGCGGCAGCTGCAAGAATTCGTCCGTCCAGATCTGTCCTGAACTTTTTGAAGTTTCGAACCAAATGGGTGATGCAAAAAGACTCCCGTACAAGGGGGAGACAAGTGGATGTGGCGGATATCCATGCCCCTCCTCTATCATGCATCATGACAAAGTCGGAGGAGTTCACCTCCGGAACGGCCTCCAGCAGGAGATTGAATAGGAAGGCGCATGCATGCTTGTTTTCCCCCTCTACCCATGCACATCCCAACATAACAAGTTTGTGTTGGCTATCCAACATGCATATGTTCAAGGTGTATCCCCCCCATGCGGTCTTATTATGACATCCATCCGCAAAAATGATGGGCAGGCAGTTCATGACCGCATCTCTCGCCCCTGGAAATATAATTCCTGCACGGTAGAAGTGATTTCCCCGCCTGACCATAAACACGACAGATGAGGGGTTTTTATCCTTGAACTTTCCTAACAGGTCCTCCATGTATTGAAATCCATCGTCTCCACAAAACGGATCCGCATTCCTCAGCTCAAAGAGCACCTCGCGCGCAACCGTGTACGAGCACTCCACACGTAAAACCGCCCTAACATGACTCATCAGCGCATGAGGTCTCACGTCGCCATGCTTTAGCATCTCACGCGCAACCTCTTTGACCTCATCCCTCCGAATCCTTGCAGCTTCGGTGACACACCTATCGGCGTGATCCAAATCAGCCACCGTGACCCGCAGGTTACTATAGCGCGGTCTCCGCATGACAACACGGAATGGACACATCCCTTCTCCGATGTGCACCTCCCCACGAGGCCATACCTTGCCCTCCATGGACTTGCACCACACCTCAATGAGATTCGACCGATTATAGCGGAAATAGGGAGCAAACGTCTGCTGCCTACAGTACAACCGCACCTCCTCCCTTGCTGCTACAGCAGTTGGGTAGAGCTTCCCCTTGTAAATGTTGACAGCATCATCTTCCTGCACATCAAAATTGCTACAGGACCAAAAGATAACGGATGGAGGGATACCACACAGAAGTTTGCAAGTTATCTTATACAATTCTTGTTTGGAAATGAACGATGGCTGATGTTAACAATGCACTTTAGCTAGTTTGGACAATAAGACCATGCGGATTCAACATGTGTATTCAACCTCAGCCTCTCACCTTGAACGTATGAGGCGAAACATGTTGTTCCTCACGACCGCCTCAAGCTCTGTTGGACAATAAGACCATGCGGATATAAGATGTAGTATTGTGCATAAGAGAGAATGGAAGGGGGAAAATTGAGAGCCTTTCAAGAGTTAGGGGACAAGAGAGAATGTCACACAGACAAGAGAGTGTATGAGAGCGTATGAGAGGGGATGAGAGGGGATGAGAGGGGATGAGAGGGAAAGAGAGGGAATGAGAGGGAATGAGAGGGAATGAGAGTGAATGAGAGGGGATGAGAGGGAACGGGAGTAAGTGTACGGGGATGAGAGGGGATGAGTGTGTATGAGAGGGGATGAGAGTGTATGAGAGGGGCTGAGAAGGGATAAGAGGGGATGAGTGTGAATGAGAGTGTATGGAAGTGTATGAGAGTGGATGAGAGCGGATTAGGGGGTATGAGTGTGTATGAGAGGGGATGAGAGTGTTTAAGAGTGTATGATAGTGCATGAGAGAGGATGAGAGGAGTTGAGAGTGTATGAGAGTGGATGAGGAGGGATGAGAGTGTGTAAGAGAGTGTATGAGAGTGTGTGAGAGGGGATGAGAGGGGATGAGAGGGGATGACCAGGGATGAGAGTGCACGAGAGTGAAAGGGAGTGTATGAGAGTGTATGAGTGTGTATGGGAGTGTATAAGAGGGGATGAGAGTGTATATGATAATGTATGAGTGGGTATGAGTGGGTACGAGAGTGTATGAGAGGGAATGAGATGGGATGAGAGGGGATGAGAGGGGATGAGAGGGGATGAGAGGGGATGAGAGGGGATGAGAGGGGATGAGAGGGGATGAGAGGGGATGAGAGGGGATGACCCGGGATGAGAGTGCACGAGAGTGAAAGGGAGTGTATGAGAGTGTATGAGTGTGTATGGGAGTGTATAAGAGGGGATGAGAGTGTATATGATAATGTATGAGTGGGTATGAGTGGGTACGAGAGGGTATGAGAGGGAATGACATGGGATGAGAGGAGATGAGAGGGGATGAGAGTGAATGAGAGTGTATGGGAGTGTATAAGAGGGGATGAGGGTGTATATGAGTGTATATGAGTGGGAACGAGATGAGAGTGTAGGAGAGGGAATGAGATGGGATGAGAGGGGATGAGAGCGTATGAGAGTGAATGAGAGTGTATGGAAGTGTATGGGAGTGGATGAGAGCGGATTAGGGGGTATGAGTGTGTATGAGAGGGGATGAGAGTGTATAAGAGTGTATGATAGTGCATGAGAGAGGATGAGAGGAGTTGAGAGTGTATGAGAGTGGATGAGGAGGGTTGAGAGTGTGTAAGTGAGTGTATGAGAGTGTGTGAGAGTGTATGAGATGGGATGATAGGGGATGAGAGGGGATGAGAGGGGATGAGAGGGGATGACCAGGGATGAGAGAGCACGAGAGTGAAAGGGAGTGTATGAGAGTGTATGAGTGTGTATGGGAGTGTATAAGAGGGGATGAGAGTGTATATGATAGTGTATGAGTGGGTATGAGTGGGTACGAGAGTGTATGAGAGTGTATGAGAGGGAATGAGATGGGATGAGAGGGGATGAGAGGGGATGAGAGTGAATGAGAGTGTATGATAAGGGATGATGAGAGTGTATGCGAGTTTAGGAGAGTGGATGAGAGTGGTTGAGAGTGTATGAGAGTGTATGTGAGGGGATGAGAGTGTATGAGAGTGTATGAGAGTGAACGAGAGGGGATGAGAAGGGATGAGAGGGGATGAGAGTATATGAGAGGGGATGAGAGTGTGTGAGATAGGATGAGAACGGATGATAGGAAATGAGTGTGTATGAGAGTGAATGGGTGTGTATGAGGGGATGGGAGTGTATGAGAGTGAGTGTAGGAGATTGAATGAGAGTGGTTGAGAGTGTATGAGAGTGTATGAGAGGGGATGAGAGTGTATGAGAGTATATGAGAAGGGATGAGAGTGTATGAGTGTGTACGGGAGAGTATGACGGGATGATAGTGTATATGATAGTGTATGGGAGGGTATGAGAGTGTACAAGAGTGTATGAGAGTGTATGAGAGGGGATGAGTGTGTATGAGAGGGGATGAGAGTGTATGAGAGGGGATGTGAGGGGATAAGAGGGGATGAGTGTGAATGAGAGTGTATGGAAGTGTATGAGAGTGGATGAGAGCGGATTAGGGGGTATGAGTGTGTATGAGAGGGGATGAGAGTGTATCAGACAGTGGATGAGAGGGGATGAGAGTGAATAAGGGTGTATGTGAGTGTATGAGAGAGGATGAGAGGGGATGAGAGTGTATGAGAGGGGATAAGAGGGGATGGGTGTGAATGAGAGTGTATGGAAGTGTATGAGAGTGGATGAGAGCGGATTAGGGGGTATGAGTGTGTATGAGAGGGGCTGAGAGTGAATAAGGGTGTCTGTGAGTGTATGAGAGAGGATGAGAGGGGTTGAGAGTGTATGAGAGTGGATGAGGAGGGATGAGAGTGTGTAAGAGAGTGTATGAGAGTGTGTGAGAGTGTATGAGTGGGGATGAGAGGGGATGAGAGGGGATGAGAGGGGATGAGAGGGGATGTGAGGGGATAAGAGGGGATGAGTGCTACTGTATGAGAGTGTATGAGTGTGTATGGGAGTGTATACGAGGGGATGAGAGTGTATATGAGTGTATATGAGTGGGTACGAGAGGGTATGAGAGTGTATGAGAGGGAATGAGATGGGATGAGAGGGGATAAGAGGGGATGAGAGGGAATGAGAGTGTATGGAAGTGTATGAGAGTGGATGAGAGCGGATTAGGGGGTATGAGTGTGTATGAGAGGGGATGAGAGTGTTTAAGAGTGTATGATAGTGCATGAGAGAGGATGAGAGGAGTTGAGAGTGTATGAGAGTGGATGAGGAGGGTTGAGAGTGTGTAAGAGAGTGTATGAGAGTGTGTGAGAGTGTATGAGATGGGATGATAGGGGATGAGAGGGGATGAGAGGGGATGACCAGGGATGAGAGTGCACGAGAGTGAAAGGGAGTGTATGAGAGTGTATGAGTGTGTATGGGAGTGTATAGGAGGGGATGAGAGTGTATATGATAGTGTATGAGTGGGTATGAGTGGGTACGAGAGGGTATGAGAGTGTATGAGAGGGAATTACATGGGATGAGAGGGGATGAGAGGGGATGAGAGCGTATGAGTGTGTATGAGTGTGTATGGGAGTGTATAAGAGGGGATGAGAGTGTATATGAGTGTATATGAGTGGGTACAAGAGGGTATGAGAGTATATGAGAGGGAATGAGATGGGATGAGAGGGGATGAGAGGGGATGAGAGTGAATGAGAGTGTATGGAAGTGTATGGGAGTGGATGAGAGCGGATTAGGGGGTATGCGTGTGTATGAGAGGGGATGAGAGTGTTTAAGAGTGTCTGATAGTGCATGAGAGAGGATGAGAGGAGTTGAGAGTGTATGAGAGTGGATGAGGAGGGTTGAGAGTGTGTAAGAGAGTGTATGAGATGGGATGATAGGGGATGAGAGGGGATGATAGGGGATGACCAGGGATGAGAGTGCACGAGAGTGAAAGGGAGTGTATGAGAGTGTATGAGTGTGTATGGGAGTGTATAAGAGGGGATGAGAGTGTATATGATAGTGTATGAGTGGGTATGAGTGGGTACGAGAGTGTATGAGAGTGTATGAGAGGGAATGAGATGGGATGAGAGGGGATGAGAGTGTATCAGACAGTGGATGAGAGGGCATGAGAGTGAATAAGGGTGTATGTGAGTGTATGAGAGAGGATGAGAGGGGTTGAGAGTGTATGCGAGTGGATGAGGAGTGATGAGAGTGTGTAAGAGAGTGTATGAGAGTGTGTGAGAGTGTATGAGAGGGGATGAGAGGGGATGAGAGGGGATGAGAGGGGATGAGAGGGGATGAGAGGGGATGTGAGGGGATTAGAGGGGATGAGTGTGAATGAGAGTGTATGAGAGTGTATGAGTGTGTATGGGAGTGTATAAGAGGGGATGAGAGTGTATATGAGTGTATATGAGAGTGGGTACGAGAGGGTATGAGAGTGTATGAGAGGGAATGACATGGGATGAGAGGGGATGAGAGCGTATGAGAGTGAATGAGAGTGTATGGGAGTGTATAAGAGGGGATGAGAGTGTATATGAGTGTATATGAGTGGGTACGAGAGGGTATGAGAGTGTATGAGAGGGAATGACATGGGATGAGAGAGGATGAGAGGGGATGAGAGTGAATGAGAGTGTATGATAAGGAATGATGAGAGAGTATGAGAGTTTAGGAGAGTGGATGAGAGTGGTTGAGAGTGTATGAGAGTGACTGAGAGGGGATGAGAAGGGATGAGAGTGTATGAGAGTGTATGAGAGTGAATGAGAGGGGATGAGAAGGGATGAGAGGGAAAGAGAGGGAATGAGAGGGAATGAGAGGGAATGAGAGTGAATGAGAGGGGATGAGAGGGAACGGGAGTGTGTGTGAGGGGATGAGAGGGGATGAGTGTGTACGAGAGGGGGTGAGCGAGAGGGATGGAGAGGGGATGAGTGTGTATGAGAGGGGGTGTGCGAGAGGGATGGAGAGGAGACTCAACGTAACTAGAGGGGACTAGAGAGCAGTCAAGCACGAGATAGCATAAAAGAAAAGCCTGGCACGAGAGAGGGAATTGACGTAATCGAGGCTTTGGCCGGGGATGACACGGCATGCGAGGGAGTGAGGAAAGATGGGTAGGAGACAAGAGAGCACGAGAGGGGAGGCTAGCAGACGAGAGTGCATGGGCACCCTGGCCTCGGCGGTGGCCAGAGAGGCGCGACGCGCTGAGCGGCGTGTTAGCGCATCACGGTGGCGGATCGTCGCAATGCGCCCGGCAGGGTGGCCGCATTGCGCATTGCGACGGCGGCGGCCTGGTCGGCACGATGCGCGGAGCGGCCAAAAGCAGGACGCAATGCGCATCGCGGCGGCGGCGGCCCGGTCGGCGCGATGCGCTTTGCGGCCCGAAGCTGGCCGCAATGCGCATCGCGGCGGCGGCTGCTCCTGATCGTCGCGATGCATCTCGCGACGATCGGGCCCGATGCATCGGGCGATG